GGTTGGAGACGTAATACAATATCATATCATTTTGACTCATTTGACTAACTTGAGCGATATTACCATTTTATTTATTTTACCACCAGTTATGTTCCTATCCAATGTATTGTAGGCACCATTTATTTCAGAGGGAAGAGAAGATATGTAAATTTTACCAATGTAAAATCAAATGAATTTTGAGAAATGAATAAATACAAATCATTTATATAATTAGGCTATGCGAATGGGGTTATCTGGTGGTTACTCCGTTATAAATGGTAAAGGTCACTTATATAGAACCCTATGATACTGAAGATCTGTCCCTTCTTGTTGATTATCAATGACATTCTGTACAAATTCCAGGGCAAAGTTCCTTTGCAAGTACTTTTTGAACACACTGCAAACAATTAATCTGGTGGTGTTTTAAATAATGGGCATTTACCCATTTTGCGGTTGGCACAACGCTGCATGTTTCATAGTGCTATTGTTTCAAAAACTTATTTAATCTAATAACAGAATCTCTGTAGTGCTTTTCCAGTGCACAAAAGCATGAGACGAAGCAAATGAAATAGGTACAAGAGCTATTATATGAATAAAAGTACAATTATCATCCAGTTAAAAATAGTTTCCATGCCCGGCTGGGCGTGGCTCAGGGGTTGAGCGTCGACCTAGGATCCAGGCGATCGGGGTTCGATTCCCGGTCAGGGCACATGCCCGGGTTGCGGGCTTGATCCCCAGTCGGGGGCCTGCAGGAGGCGGCTGATCAGTGACTCTCTCATCATTGATGTTTCTCTCTCTCTCTCACTCTCCCTCTCCTTTCTTCTCTCTGTAATCAATAAAGATATATTAAAAAAAAAAAAAGTTTCCATCACCCTAGCCAGTTTGGCTCAGTGGTTAGAGCATTGGCCCTTGGACTGAAGGGTCCTGGGTCTGATTCTGGGGAAGGGCATGTACCTCGGTTGCAGGCTCGATCCCTAGCCCAGGTTGGGGTGCGTGCAGAAGGCAACCAATCTCTCTCACCTCAATGTTTCTCTCTCTTTCTCTCTCCCTTCCACTCTCTCTGATAAAGCAACAGGAAAAAATAAAAATAAAAATAGTTTCCAGCAAAAAGACCTGCACTGTTCATATAACATTAATTTTTGTCAATAGTAAGTACATTTTCCAAAATAGTACATGCATGTCTCAGAGCTATGTAAAGAGCAGTAACACAAGGGAAAAATTAACCTAATTTAACATAGAGTCAACATGAAAGCAAAGATACACATTTCACTTAACTCTGGACATTTCAATCATCTCTTAGACACTTAAAGTTCTCATTTACAAAAACATAGTAAGNCAAAGTTTTCATTTACAAAAACATAGTAAGTTCTGAAGAGCGCTTGAGACGTTTTGCAGTAAAAGATTAAAACCGGTGATATAAACTATGAGGCTTGCAAGGCACCTAAAATATTTATAAAGCTATATTTATATTCACAGTTTTCCTAAAATGCTGAATTGTTGAATGTTAACATGTAAGTCTGTCTACTTAGTGTAGGAAACCATATCGGCAATTTTACTGTAGTAAAATTTGGATGTTTCTATTTCTTTTCCCACTCAGTAACTATAATTCCTTTTACTGGTATTTTCTTAATGCTAAACAATTGGATTTGAATGAACTAGAACTTGAAACACATCTTTAAGATAAAAACTCACGATTTTAATTTGTTTGCTAAGCTTTGAATTCAGATCTTCTAACTACATTTATTCTTATTGGAGGAATAGTTTTACTGTAGTGAAATGGTATTGTAGGGCTTTTCTCATGTCCAATAATTATGTTTGGTCTGAATAATTTAGGTCCTCCTTTCCATGTTCATTACTTAGTAACATGTTTCTGGTGGAATTGTTTGAATAATTGCCTTAATTCTTTGCTTTGCAGGCTGAGACTTTCATTTAAGATACAGAAGAACTTTGAAGAAAGAACTTTCTAGAATGCTTTTCAAACTAGAAGGAAGTTCTGACACTGATTTTATTCAGTCTAAACGGACTATGTGAGGTGAAATAAGTAGTCACAAGCTGCCAAAGTGAACTTGACTCTTCAATTAAATCTACTAAGACCAATTGGGCATGAAGCAGATATGTTGTTCAGATGCATGGGATTTGTTTTAAAACAGCAGAATACCTTTATTTAAAGGTCAGTTAAGAGTTTGCTATGTCACCTTAAGTTTTATCATTAGTTATTTGTGAATTGAGAACTTAAATAACTTAAAGAAAAATTTGAAAAATAGCCATAGGACAATATTATGCAATCAGAATGGATTGATAGCTGAAAAATTCAGACAATCCAACAGGCTATTTCCGATGGGGTATTTGTGAGTGAAATACATGAAATATACTGAAAATTTTCAATAAATGTGATGCTGTATTAGAATTAATGAAGATAAATCATCTACTAATAGTTTTATATTTTAATGTATTAATTTTATAGGACTTAAAAATTTTGTCAGTTTGTATACTTTGACATATGTATTAAATCTAAATTGATATATAGCTTTTGTTCTTTAAAACTTTGATCGACTTGACTTATAATTTTTATATATACTAATCAAAACTAAAATACATCTTCTTACCTAACTTTAAAAAATTCCCAAGAATTATACGAAAGCACATGCTTAAAAATAATTTTGACTATTTCATACTAAAAAAAGTTAGTTTATAATTTACACCAGTCTGAACTCTGAGTGACACAGTAAGCCATGTAAGTAATTTCACATTTAGTTGCCTAGAATTTCAGGGTTCTTAAAGAACGGAAAAGTTAATGTTTATCTCTGGAATCATGGCCTTTATGAAAGTGCTGTTAGTGTGTCCTAGTTCAGAGAAACCTGGAAAATCCAGAGGCGCGAGAATGGGATTCTGCACAACGCATCCATGGGAGCTTTGTTCTCTAGAAAGGTGTCACCTGGGATCACAATTCCTTCTGAGTCAATAATCCTGACATTTCCAGACTCTTCCTCAACTGGAAACTCACCTCGGAAAAGCGTCATTTTATCGTTTGGTACTCTAAGCCATAATAAATTGCCCTAGGCTTCATGTCTTTCTTGGGCTTATCACCGTGAACACAGAGAGGTATCATTTTTGCAAACAAGGAAAAGGTAACAGAAAAGGGGGAGGAATTAAAAACTTGCTTTTCAGGAACATGAAGTACCTGCCCCGCCTTTTTGTAAACTGTCAGGAGTACAATGCCTATGTCCCTGACTATTTACCTAGAAGATGATGCCAACATGTATTTCGGTGCTTTTAAAAGTAGCTATTTAACCTTAAAAACTGTTATAGCCCTGGGCAGTGTGGCTCAGCCGTTGGGAGTGTCCTCCTGTGCACCAAAGGGTCGCAGGTTCGATTCCCAGGCAGGGCACATGCCCAGGTTGCAGGCTCGATGCCCAGTTGGGGCATGTATGGGAGGCAACCAATTAATATTTCTCTCTCTCTCTCTCTCTCTTCCCTTCTCCTTCCTCCCTCTCTCTCTCTCTCAAAAACAAACAAATGAAAAACCCTTATGCNGTTTCTCTCTCTCTCTCTCTCTTCCCTTCTCCTTCCTCCCTCTCTCTCTCTCTCAAAAACAAACAAATGAAAAACCCTTATGCTGTTCATTTTCTTACCAGCTGACACTGTCTGAAAGCATTTTCCCTGAAGTAAATCTGGAGGAGCTGCAGTGAGGCAGTGGTTATCTGGAGTTCACCGCCTAAGCAACCAGTGCTGTTTGAAGGCATTTGATACTATGTCTCAAAGCTGCTCTAGCAAAACTCCCCAAACCATAAAATAATGTATGTAGAAATCCTTTTGTTCAAGGAGGTCAGGTGGGAGGTGTAAAGAACATCGTTTTCAATCCTCATATATGTCTGGGCTAACTAATTTTCCTGGAGGGAGGTGAACATTTGTAAAGAGAAAACTTTTAAAACAAATTTTCAGTGCCAATGGCTATCTAATACCAGTTTCTAGTATTAAAAAAATATATTTTAAAAGTGATTACTTTTCAATTTGGGATTGAAGCCACATTCCACATATAAAAGTTTGTTTTTTGTTCTCTCTCTCTCTCTCTCTCTCTCTCTCTTTCTTTCTTTTTTTGTTAATTCTCACCTGAGGATATATTTTTTCCATTGATTTTCAGAGAGAGTGGATGGGAGAGAGAGAGGGAGGAGGGAGAGAGAGAGAGAGACATGGATGTGAGGGAGACATGGATTGGTTACCTCCCGCACACTCCCCGACTGGGCCGGCGATCGAACCTGCAGCCCAGGTCTTCGGGGTGACCCTCTAACCAGAGCCAAGCTGGCCAGGGCCAGAGCTGGTCATTTTCATTCTTTTCAATATATTTGGGGGAGAGAAATGAAGAAACCTATGTAACTGGTCACATTATTGGTTGTACAGCTGGACGATACTATTCTTCGAATGCACAAATGAACTTACTTGATAGTTAATAAATTCCTAATGCCCAGTATCATGTTTTCCAGTATCATTTTTTTTTTTTTTTTAGTGTCCTTTCAAACTGTAGTAGGACTTTGTATTTAAGCCAATTTAATTGAGAAACAAAATAAGCGGTTGTAAAGTCCAGGGTTTTCATGTCTTCTACACCTGTTGTCTTTGAAATTCGTCATTTCTACTTAGTACTGAAAATCCATTGACAATGACATTCACTAGGAAAAGTGAAGTGAGTGTGATAAAGGAGTTGGCAGAATGTTGGCATGTGTCTTCCCCTCTGCACTTTGACCCATGACTATGTTCTTTTATACTTTAACCAAAGATGCAGGCATCTCCAGTGTATTTGTCACAGCAAATTTGAAAGTCTTAAGTAGCAAGGTTTGAAAATCATTTGAAGCGGCCCCCCACAGTTGAAAGGTAGTTAGAGCTAATCAATAACGCCTGAGAGTCACTCGAAGTGGTTAGTTCACAGATGATATTTTATTTACTATGATGGAAAATAAATGGCAACTCTAGAAAAATAAAAATAGGTCTTACGTTTTACGGAATTTGGAAACTTGCTTTGAAGAGGTGTTTAATTCGGCACATGCAGGTGCAGTGGGTGATATGTCTGAAAGAAAATCGGTGGTGGCTGTCCAGGGATGGCGTAGTAAGAGGGGTACCCTCCCTCGGAAGCGAAGTAAGGAGCAGGGTGATAGAAGCAGGTTACGCGGTCCGTGTTGGGCAGGATGTTCTGTTCCCCGAGCACCTGGAGCGCCAGCAGGGTGATCATGTTGATGGCCTGCATCCTCTCGTTGCCCATGAGGCACACGGTGCTCTCGCTCACCACCCTGCGCAAGGTCATCAGGTAGTCGTACTTGCTCTTCTCGTCACCGATGAAATGGTTGCGGAGGTAGGACTCGATCTTCTTTTGCTGTTCTACTATATTAGGGAAATCAGTGAAGAATCTCGAGCACATGTAACGTTCCAGGGTCTTGATTTCTGCCTCATGAGCTGCCTTGAAGTCCCGGACCAGCAGGTTGCTGTACTTCAGAAGGCCCCCGCCCCTGATCTCTTCGGGTTTTCTGGTCGCTATGAGCTTGCACTGCAGGTGCCTCATCGCCTCCTGGAAGTCTCCATACATGCTCTCAACTTCCACAGCAGGGTAGGAGTCTTGGCACAGCTTGGCATGTTTGTCACTGTAGAAGTCTAGCATGGGATCCAAGAGAATCTGGAAGGAATCCACACTGAACTCGAACTGCCGTCTGAGTGAATTCACAAATTTCAGCTCCACGTTCTTCCCAGTGTTGTTTGAGAGGGAGATGAGACTCCAGCGATCGTGCTTGTTGCAGACTTTCACCATCTTCTGCACGTAAGCCTCCTTCATGGTCTTCAGGGTGATCTTTTCCTTTTTTACACCTGGTGGTAAGAAGTCAAGGAGACATCCTAGAACTGCATCCTTGACCACCTGAAACTCTTGATTACTTGATAGTTCAACACCAAAAATAACATCCAGATCCTTATAGCTGATTCCGTTGTGACTCGCGAGGATGTAACTTGCTGTGGAGCCATTCAACCGGGTGTCTTTAACAATAATTCCTTGCTCTATCAGTTGATCTTTCACAACATGAATAATATACTTTGGTTTTACCTCCAACGTGGGGAAATTCCCCCTTCCATGAATTGGAACTACTTCATTTAACACTCGATCGAGTATTCTAACTTGATCCCAAGTGAGATTGCTGAATCCAGTTTCGGACATTGTGAAGTGTTAGTAGGTCAACTAGAGAGCAAGCAAAATATTAAGAGGAAATGTTAGCATCTTGAAATCAGTGTTATATCCAAAGCATATAAAAAAGTTAAAAATAGACTTACCCTCAACATAAATCAAACTAATACCAGGAAGTAAATTATCAATGTATCTAATCGTGGTTAAATATATAAGTGAAATAAAGCCACTTTGATTTTGTCAGAATCACTAGTGCGTGCAAACAGACATTCTCATGGATGTGTTAGAATTATAATTATTTTTGATGTAAAATGATGTCCTTTTTCAATCTTTATTCATGTAACTACTATAATGATTATATTTGGTGTTATAAATTGTTCATGAGATAATCATAATACATCATTGAGGTTATCTGTCATGAATTTAAAGTGAGATTAAGCCCTGGCTGGCTTTCCTCTGTGGTTAGAGCATTGGCTTGTGCACCGAAGGGTCGCTGGTTCAATTCCTAGTCAAGGGCACAAACCTTTGGGGGGGG